TCTCTCTCTCTCTCTCTCTCTCTCTCTCTCTCTCTCTGTGTGTGTGTGTGTGTGTGTGTGTGTGTGTGTGTGTGTGTGTGTTTGATTTTTAATATCGTTTCACGTCTACGGGGAAAATAAAGTTGCGAAATTTTGCAAAATATTTGTTAATCTTAACACGTTCACCGTTTCGTGCATCGTGTACTATAGTGCAGGGATTCTCAAACTTTTCCAAACTTTGCTTGCGACCCCGCGTTTAGAGGTATATAAGCTAGGAATACACAGATTGAAACATTTGCCGATAATGAATCATAAAGGGAATTCATTTAATAATAATAACGAAGAAAATTTATTAGCATTAATAATTTAAATTATTGTTCATTTGATTTTATTTACTTAATAATAATTTAATTTAATAATTTAAATTATTGTTAATTCATTTATATTTCATTTATAAATTAATGATAATTTAATTTAATAATAAAGAAAATTTATTAATTCTTTCGAAAACAATTCTTTGATATACGTATCATGTGTTAAGGACAATGCCAAATATTTCTACTAATTTCTTTCTTTAATTATGCGAGCCACACGAGTATAGGAAGAATCCTGCTATAGTGTACAATGTTACTACGTTGCGTCGAAATTTGAAAAATTCGTGAAAATTTCAAAAATCACATTTCATTGTAAAAATTATAAATATCCTGGGACAGGTGTTGACGTTTGCAAACGTTATGAATTGGTAGTTTTTCCGATCAGGCTCGGCAGTTTCTGATGTTAAATTACAGTGATCGATTCAGTTTCGTCGCGGCTCCCGCGAGTTTAATATAAAGAACCGCGGGCCAAGGACCGAGGTTGAAAAGTGTATCGATAAATTTCGTTGGTGCGCGGCCGATTCGAGAGGAAGGTAAAGCCAATAAGGGATATTAAATTCGTCGCCGCGTTCTTCCGTGACGGGGGCTGGGATGAAACGAGAAGCGCCACCATCTTCTTCCCATTTCCATTTCCGGGTGAAAGGACTCCCTTAAATCCTTCGCGTCTTAAAATCTACGTTAACGGGTTTTTGCCTGTATTGAATAGTTTTGTTTCCTGGATTTTCATCGACACGTGACAAACGTAGAGATTTATAGTATAGTATAATATACTAACTATAGTTTTATATATATATATAATACAATATATATAGTATAGTATAGAATGTATACTATACTATACTATATATTAACTGTTATATAATATAACTTGTTAGTACAGTATAATACATTATAATATACTATATAGTATAACTTGTTAGTACAGTATAATATACCATAATATACTATATAGTATAACTTGTTAGTACAGTATAATATACCATAATATACTATATAGTATAACTTCTTAGTACAGTACAATATACTATAATATACTATATAGTATAACTTGTTAGTACAGTATAATACACTATAATATACTATATAGTATAACTTGTTAGTACAGTATAATATACTATAATATACTATATAGTATAACTTGTCAGTACAGTATAATATACTATACCAACCATGGTTATATATATAGTATAGTACAGTATATATATATATATATATACACTATACTATATATTAATTGTTATGTAGTATAATATATAGTATAACTGTTGCAGTATAATATATTATACTAACTATAGCTATATATAATATATAGTGTAGTATAGTATATACACACACGTATATACTTTGCTATATTATACTATATATTAACTGTTATATTATGTATAATATATATAGTATAATTGTTAGTCCAGTATAATATAATATACTAGTCATAGTTACATATATAATATATATAGTACAGTATATATATATATATATATACTATACTGTATTATATATAGTACAGTATAGTATATATATACTATACTGTATTATATATATTACATTACATATATAATAATAGTTAGTATAGTATATTATACTGTACTAACAGTTATACTATATACATTGTACCTCCCTTAATGTTTCTAACAATACAGAGGAAATTTGAAATCTCGCCTCTCGGTATAAATTAAAATTAAAGAATTCCAGCTATCGAATTTCTGAATTTCTGAATTTCTGAAAAATTTCACATCTATTCGACAAATGGACGATTTCACCAATTCATCGTTGTCAATCGTCATCGATGATCTTTCGAAGAATTAAAGAAATCAGATGAGATTCGGATTGCATTAAAAAAAAAAAAAAAAAGGAAAAGAAACAAAAATCGAGATTAAGTGTTTTAAGAACTGAAGGTGAGGGGAAACTTAAAGTGTGAACTCCCCGACGTACCGTGGGAAAAATTGGAAATATCAGTCGCGCAACGTGTCGTTGTTGTTGGGGGGGGGGGGGCGGGGTTGATTACGGTGGGGTTCGTTCGATCGGAATTCCGGGCGGGGAGGGTCGAATATCAAAATCCATCGTCGGAATGCAAACCTCTAAATGCCGTTCGGCCTCCATTCCTGGTAGACTCTTGACCTCGAGCCGATACCCACTTGACGCCGTGCGCGCCTCTATAATTCAGTCGTATTGTTCTGGCTCCGGGCAAAAGGATAAACGGGGGGTGAAACGTCGAGGGTGGTGAAAAAGAAAGAAAGAAAGAAAGAAAGAAAGAAAGAAAGAAAGAAAGGAAAAAGAAAAATTGGGAGAAGGTCAGATGTCAGCGAGCGTGCCATCTTTCGATTCGTTGGCGGAAAATTTGACTCGACGATAGAACTCGCGTGCCCTAACCAGAAACACACCTCTCTCTTCATTTTGACGAAATAACAAGCAAAGTAACATAAAGTAAAGAGATGTATAATTAAATAATTAAAAATCTTGGGGAAATGAATGATAAACTACGTGCATGTGCATATATCATGGGATTATATGATAATTTAATTATGTAAATAATTTGTATGGCACACGATTATGTATTTATTTATGTTACTGTAAATTTCAATATTTAATATTTATATATAATATTTACACATGTATTTATGTGTAATATTTATATATTAATATTAATATTTATACCTGCATTAATGATATTGTACAAATATTAAACATCAAATTAAATGCAATAATTCTGTTCTCTCATAAAAAAAAAATTTCTTTCAAACTCTGCGTCTGTGTTTTTCAAAAGAAAAATTTACTTTTTTTTTTTTTTTAAAATGAATCGATCCTTCTTCTTTCTTTCTTTAAACGTTCCGACGTTTAGCCTCGCTTCACAGCCAATTTTCCACCATTGTTGTAGTACTCGCAGCCGCGCAGCGCTAAAAGCAGAGGCTCGGTATCTAAACAACGATTCATCCCTCTACGAAAGTATACCCCTTGATATCGCGTATCACCAAGTCGAAACGCACACACACACACACACACACACAGAAAAATTTCGCGGTGAATCCCGTTTGAAAAGGGGTGGATCGCGGGACGGTGAGCACGGATCCCCGGGGGCTTAGAACTGCAAATCTGCTAGCTACTTTAGACGAATGCTGCCAGCAGCGGTGAAACAATGCCCTCTCGAATCGGGCTTTGTTCCTCGCTTCTGGTTTGCCTACTGATTTGAAACCTACACCGACCTATCGCGAAATATCCCTCCCTCCCTTCATCCGTCGTCACGTTTATCACCGCGTATGTATCTATCGCGCGTTTCCTCCCTGTGTCTGTGTGTTCCACGCTGCACACACACACACACACACAGAGGCTTGCGTTTGAAAACTTGCGGTTTACTTTGAAAGGAATGCATACCTTGCCTCGGGGATTGAGAAGATTCGCGAAATAACGTTTGAAGGAAAGTGTCTCGAAATTACTGTACATCATACGTCGTCGGTTTTCAATTAAAAGTGAATCCTTATTTTTTGTTTTTTTTTTTTTTTTTTTTTCCCCACTCTGTTGACATGAACTTCATTATCTTCTTCTAATTGGCTAGGGTATCGCAAGGTAACGACACGCGTTTGAAATAGAATACCGTGTCATGAACGAGTGAAAGGAACATTTTCTTCGTCGCACTTAACCTCGAGGGCTCTCCCTTGCCTCTTTGTGGCAAAGTCGCACTTTCCTAGAGAGCATACGCCCCTCTGAATTCTGAATCGAATCGGGATTCACATTGTCTTCGATTGTTTCCTCCTCTCCTTTTTTTTTTTTTCTTAATCTTGTTCCTCCTGTATATATATTTTCTTCTTCTCCCTTCTCCCCCCCCCCCTCCCTTTTATTTCGTTTGCGTTCGACAGGTATCTTTCCTGTTCGAAAAA